GAACTTACAGTCCTCCAGCCTTTTAACTTCTTATTATGTTTATCGTGCTTTGTCCCACTTCCTCCCCCCCCCCCGAAAAATGTCTCAACAAATAAATAATCAAAAGTTAACTTTTGCAATTCCTATGTCACAAACAGTTTTTCTTTCCTCCTCAACTCAAGATTTTTCTTTTTTCTTTTTTTTTCTTTTTTTTTACTTTTTTTTATTAGATAAAAAAAAAAAAAGACATGGCATTCATAGCCCCTGGGCAAGGTGTTACTTTTTAATTTACCAGCACCTCATGTCTCGTCTCCAGGGAGGGCTTCCCGGCAGTAACCAGAAAGGACAAGTCCAAGGGACTGCAGGGATTGCAGCTGAAGGCTGTGCTGTGAATCAGCTCCTGTCCTTCTTCTGAGTAATAAATAGATCTAAATAACAACTGCGATTAATTATTATAACAAAAATAAATACCACAGGCTAGCAACTGTGTGGGGCAGGGGGTTGAATTCGGTGTGGGCTTTGTTTATTGTTAGGAAACACCCATAAACATCCCTAAAACCACTAGTAAACTCTAATCTCCTCTGTCGTAAGAAGCTTTGCAATTTTTGTGATCTCGGTGACACTCGGAGTCTGCCATTGGCTTCCAGCAAGTTGTCCTGGCTGAAAGCGAGGGCAGAGATGTGGCGCCTTATCCTGACTCCGAGGCTGTGCCCATCTGCTTTAGTAACAGAGTTTCTGGTGCCGCCGAACCGAAGGAGATAGTTCTGGCTGGACAGGGGTGACAATAATCTGCAGGGCAGTGCGGACTGAAAGCTCCCTGCCAGCCCTGCCCGTCCTGCCCGGGTTCCTCTCGCCTTCTGCCCCTTCTTCCGTAATTCTCTCATGCTGCAGAGCAAATGTCCTGGCTTCCCCGTGGGAGTGGGGCTGCAGCCGCCCGCAAGTGCCCAGCGCCGAGCTGCCCTCAGCTCTGTCCCGGTGCCCCGGAGGCCGGGGAGAGGCCGGGCAGGCTCAGCCCGGTGCCGGAGCCCCTGTGCCCCGGGGAGAGGCCGGGCAGGCTCAGCCCGGTGCCGGAGCCCCTGTGCCCCGGGGAGAGGCCGGGCAGGCTCAGCCCGGTGCCGGAGCCCCTGTGCCCCGGGGAGAGGCCGGGCAGGCTCAGCCCGGTGCCGGAGCCTCTGTGCCCCGGGGAGCCTCCGCCACCCGCGCAGGCAGCTCGGGTCCCCGAGGGGCGACTGCCTCCTCCACGGGGGAGCCTCCAGTCCACGCGTGGAGGCTTTGCCAGCGTTTTCCAGGTGCTGCCAGCCACCAAGGGGCCCGAAGGACCTGCCTCTCTGCGGGCGGGGAATGCTGCGGGCAGTGCCAGGGAGCTGAGGGTTATCCCCCAGAGCCGACTGTTTCCCCAGGACAGTGCGGATTTGAGCCCTTGATATTTGGCTTAATTTGTAAACGATTAAACGAAATAGAAGGAGAACAACCCTCTACTCTGCTAAAAGCCAGCTGCGGAGGGGAGGAAAGAGCGTGGTTTTGCGTGTTTATGCGGGCGAGTCGCGCACTGGACATTACCCCCTTTCAAAGAGTAAATTCACTTGGGAGTTTCCTAACTTTCCTAAGGAAGGACCTCCGGGAATGGCTCCCCGACAGGCGCTGCCGGGGTGGGGACTGCACCAGTCAAGACAGTGGTCAGGAGCAGAAACCAGTTTGCAGTCGTTTCCCCGCTGGCGCAGTGGCTTACGAGAAGCGCTGAAGTAAGAGTGAAAAGATGCTGGCAGGAAAAAGTCTGGGAAAAGCAGCTCCCCCACTGGTGTGTGGGGAGCTGAGGAGCCCTGGGCACCGAGGTGTGGGCGGACACTTGTGTCCCACTTAGCAAGCCCTGACCTTCGGCAGCCCCCGCCGCTGCCCCGCACATGGGTCTAACTTGTGTTCTGGCCTCCACCTGTGGCTGAGCTTAAGGGGTCACCTCGACGAGAGAAAGAGAGACGTCCAGGGGAATCGTGATGACCTTCTAGACTCCTTTTTCCCAAAACGCTTGAGAAATCCGTTAAATCAAAGACCTCGAGAGGCTGGAAATCGCCCCTTACATCCCCAAAGAACGCAGGCTGGGGAAATTTGAAGAGGTTTCATCCCCCTGGGAATGGCACAGCACCATTGAGGGGAGTTTAGAAAATTTGGAGGATGCAGTTAAATCGGTCGACTAAAGAAATTTTGGTTTTCATTTAGGAATATTTGGTTGCCCGTAAAATAATATAGATTCTGAGCGGTTTCACAGAAAAGGGGATAAATCAGGGGAGGAACGGGTACCACCCAGTCGGATGCTGCCAGAAGCGCACCTGCCCCGGCTTCCACAAATAATCTGGACAAAGAACCCCTCTGCCCCTCGGAGCTGCCCCCTTGGCCCTTCCTCCCCAGCGCTTCCTTCCGCGTAGGACAGGTCCCACCGCCTCCCCCAGCGGCGCTCAGCCCCGGCTCTGAAGCCTGTGCAGAGAGCTCGGAGAGCCCCCGGGGATTCGTGATGCTGTGAGCGCTCCTGGAGTCATCCTTCACCCCGGCGCCCTCGGGGGACACAACGCGGGGAAGCCCCGCAGGTTGGAGCGGGTGAGGGGACAAGTTGTCCCGGGGCCTGAGCACTGCCGGCTGGGCTGGCCGGCCCCACCTCGGTCACCAGCTGGGCTTCCCCGTTCTGGCCACTGAGTGAGTGCACGCTGCCGACACACTGTGACCCGACTCTATCGGGACCCGGCCCAGCAGCGGGCTCTGCCGCGCTCCGGCCGCCGGGAGCCGGGAGCCAGCCCAGAGTCGCGTCCCGGGACGCAGCTTCGCCGCTTCCCTGTAGGAAATACGGACATGTGGTCATGTTTACGGTGTGCAAGATATTAGACGGGCTGGTGTGTCCTCCCAGCCATAGGCTGCCCGTGAAAAGCTGGTGCTCAATCCCCGCCCCGTTATGTTATATTTCCTCTGCGAGGAAACTCGCTCTGGTTCTGAGGCCCCTTGCTCTGGACTTCACACCTTCTGAGTACCGATCCTGGAGCTCCCAATCAACCCAAACTCCCCTAAAGTAAAGAAGAATAAGGTTAATTTTTTCAGTTTTGATCCTTCTTGCGTTTTCACAAGTCAGGACTCAGCCAAGGAACGGAGAAATGTGGAGATCGTTCCCTCCGGCTGCCCACTGCCTGCTAAGGACGGGCTTGGGGGTAGGGGCGTCCCCGGCAGTCCTCGCAGCTCTCGAAGGCTGTGCCTCGTTTCAGTGTTTACTTCCCGTACTGCAAATGTCACCAGAATGCAACTTTAGTGCTTTGTGGCTAATATTTTTCGCCCGAGGTCTATCACTGGCATTAATTGTCCCAATAAATTGAGATATAGTGTGCATAATGCAATGTAACAATATGGTTATATTCCACGTGTATGACTTAATTAAGCTATTTGCAGCCTGATGCTGCAAGTCAACGGGTGTGCAAGTGGATTAACAATGTACTGTTCTCGTATCCTCAGGATGGTGCATAATTACTTTACTGGTGGTACATATCAATTTTTGATGATTGCAGAACACATGCTCACTTTACCAACAAGCGCTTTAATAACTCTCCGTTGTGTTTTTAAAAAGCGTTGTTTGGAAATATTTGGAAGCCTCTGCAAATAATGTTCGAGGTTCGTGGCGTGAGGTTCAGACCCGACCTCTGATGAGTGCAGAGGTTGTGAGGCAGAGCCCAGGCTCGCTGCCCGCTCCCGGGGCCGGGAGGAGCCCGGGGCCGGGCCGGGCGTCGAGGCACTCGGCAGCTCCCCGGGGACGGGGGCGTGCGGAGAGGCGGGGGAAGCGTGCCCCAACACATGCTCCTGACATTTGCCAGCGGACTAATGAAATTAGGAAACTCGATTACAGGGCTGAGGCGAGGCTGGGGAGCCCCGGGTCTTTGTTCCCGGGAAGATGGCGCCAGGGTCTGGCCGGGGGGATTTAGTTTGTGCCTCTCCAGGCAAAGGTGGAGGAGGGCGAGTGCCGACCTTCCCGGGGACAACTCGATTTCTGCAGCCTGATGGCGCTGGGCAGGGAGGTACCATCCATGAGAGAGAGTTCCCTCCCGGCCGGGCCCGGCCCGGGCCCCGCGCTCTGCGGTACCGGGCACAGCCAGTCCCCAAGACGAGAAGAGAACAAAAGAACAAGAAAAGAACAAAAGAACAAGAAAAGAGAGCTGGCGCATGGCACTGGCATGCTCAGGCGTCCCTCGGGAGCCCCACAAGGGTGGCCTCGAGGGGCCGGGCTGGGTGCGCCTGTCTGCGGGCTGGGCTCGGGCTCCGGCGTAACCAAAGGCAGATGGGCTCCTCGGCTTGGGAGGGTGTTTAGCAGCTCCCGGCCGCCGGGGCTGGCCGGACAGTGAGCTGCCAGCCCGGCCGGAGTGGCGAGCAGCCCGCGGTGCCGGGCCAGGACAGCGGCGAGCGGCCTGTGCCGGCCCCGGCCCCCTGCTCCGAGCCCCGCTCCGCGCCCAGGCGTGGTGTCGCTGCTGCTCCAGAGGAAGAAGACGATTTGTTCTTGTACCTGAAGCAGGTGATGTTTATGCAGAGACATCTGAATGACAGCAGGAGTGAAGGACAAATCTAATAAAGCCTAATAAACCGTGAGAGTCTAAATGTCATTAAACTTACAAAGATGAGAATCCAAATCACCAAAAAGGTAAATGTCTTCATTAGCCTGATCTCTGAAGACTGTCGAACATTTCATTAATTTATAATTTATGATTGTTTGACAAATATTGAAAAGTATGTAAATATGAGGGGGATAATGTCTTTTCTGCGGGAGATAAGGAAATGACCCAAACTGTACGTGCCTGCTAGATTACACACGAGGTTCCATCTATCTGTTATCAAACTGTGCTTTCCCTTTATACAACATATTGTGCAACTGACAAGTGAAATAGTGCAGATAAACCAATGGTTTAAAACGTAATAAAGACAACAGCCATTTGCATTTTTTACATTTTATTACAAAGGTAATTTACTATGACACATTTCTGAATGTAATTTATGAAAACATTTTAAGGCAATTATATAATGTATACAGCACTCGGAGACACAGAAAGTCAGATAAATAATAATCTTATGGATCTTCAGAGACTTTCTATAACGCTGAAAACATAGACTTTTGCGGGAACAGCAGTAAAACATAAAATCATAGAAATAAAATGCAGAATGATGTAATAAAGAGGAAATGGGTGTACTTCGAACTGGAATTGCAACATTAGATATTCAAGGAAACAATTTCATCTATTCCAAAGAACTAGATCATCTCAGACTATTTTTTTTTTCTCCTTCCTCTGGGTTGTGAGATGGGCTTCTAAAAGAAAGGAGGATTTCTGAGCAAAACGTCTTGCGCCCCGGTGCTCTTTGGCGGACCAAGAAGTGGACCTTCAAGTGGGGACCCCGGGGAGCCGGAGAACGGCTTGCCTTTGCTCTCCGGTGACAAAGGAGATTCGCGAGTTTATTATCACTCCCCGGGGAGAGAGAGGGGCAGCAGGCGCCGCTCGGGGTGGCCAGAGGAGGCTGCACGGGGCCGGGGGTGCGGGCAGGCCTGGGCAGTGCCGGCCCTGCCCGCCCTCTCCGCATCCCACCGGGGAAGGTTCCACAGTGCCCCCGCTCCTCTGCGCAGCGCGCACTCGCTCATGCCCCAGTCAAGTCCACGGGGAGGTGGCCGCTGTCTCGGTGGGAGAGGAGCACAGGGTGGCGACCGGCTCAGGTGGGTCCTGAGCCACCTCCGCCCCCTCTGCGCCCCCGGCTCTCCACGGCTGGCGCAGGAGCGCTTCGGTGCTTACCGTGGAGAGCAGGGGGATGACCAGAAGATGAGACGGGGCAGCATTCCCAGATAAATGTCTCCATGTGCCTCCAAGGTATTTGCACTAGGAGGGTCAGCAACCCATCGCGTGCAACTGCCTTGAGTTTGGGTTTTGTGTTTGAGCGGCTTTTTTTTCCCAAAGCCACCCAGTAGACAATAAGCCACGCAGTAGAATTTTCTAAAAGCCCCGCATTTCCCAGAATGGGTTCTGTGTCTTTGTCTTTACATAAAACAGTGCCCGTTGGCCAAATGTGTCTGTAACGAGCTTGTAAAACAAACCAGAAATCTCAGCTCGTCCTCGAGACTAAAACCAAGTCGCTTTATTCCCAAATCTTGCAAATACGTTAGGAGTGTTAGAAGTGGGACTGAAAAGCCTCCTAGCAGAGCAGCTTACCTGCTGCGAGCCTCACTGCCACAGACCCTTTCACCAGACATATTAAATCTCTTACCCTAAGAAAACAGGCACTTGTCACAATTGAAACCCGACGTATGGGGCAGCGGGATGTAAGAGTTTAGGGAACTCTGTATTTTCCCCGGGGGCCCTCCCGAGCGGTGGTCCTAACACACCTCTGCAAGAGGCCTGCAGGGTCTGCCCGACGTTTCTGAGGGCCACGTCCAGAGAGTGTTCCAGAGAGGCGGCCCTCGACGTCCTCCCCTCGCCCCTGGACTGGTGCTCAGTTGTTTATGGAGCGAAAGAGGTTTCGAGGAGATGGCAGGTGACTTCCCCCCAAGAACCTCGTTTGTTAAGCTCCCCCTCTCCATGGGTGTCCCGGCTGTCTCCCCCGACGGCAGCTGCCGGTGCCTGGCCCGGGGCTGTAGGGCACGGCCGGGCCCGCGCTGCCCGGCCTTGGGAATGGCCACCGCGGCCCCCAGCAGCCGGGACAGGGGACAGCCAGCTCTCCTCTCCCCGCCCTTCGGCAGCACGC